TTAATTTTATTAAAGGCTAGCGTGTAGGGCGTTTCCCTTGCAAGCAGCCAACCTGGGTTTGATTCCTCTGTCCCTCTCGGAGAGCCCAGCAAGCTACCAAGAGTATCCCTCCCACAGGGCAGAGCCTGGCAAGCTCCCTGTGGCATATTCGATATGCCAAAAACAGTAACAACACGTCTCACAGTGGAGATGTTACTGGTCCCCGCTCGAGCAAATCGATTAACAATGGGAGGACGGTGCTACAGTGTAGTGCTATGCTAATATAAGTCACTTTGATATATTGTTTATGTTTTTACTCCAATTATAAGTTAGCTCCAAGTAATAACACCAGTTTGAATTTATAAATGATTTCTTGAAGTGTACAAATTTCTCCTAAGTTTCACCAACCTCTCTTGTCTTAGGTAATAAGTAGAATACCAGAATTTAAATGGTATTATATCAAATATTTTTATTAGTAGAAAATAGTATGGTAATGTTATTAGCTGATTGGATATGCAGGCACACTAAGAATAATACAAGACTTTCTTATTTTTTGGACAGTGCACTATTAGATGTTTCAATCAGCAATTTAACATTAGAAGTTTATTACTGTAAAAGATTAGCTACAAAGTAATTGGGCATCTGACTTGCTTAATTGGAAAAAATTGTCATAATAGTATAAAAATTTCTCTCAAACTTAAGAAAAGAGTCTTTTGTAGATTAAAAGAAAGTGACTTGGCACCAGGTGCGAGGGTGACGGAAGTCCCGTTTTGTTCTTGTACCTATAGTGCCCAATGAATGAGTATATGTGAATATACAATAATATAATATAAACAATATATAAATGTATAATTAATATATGTAATAATACATAACATGACAATATAATATATACTATAATAATATAATGTATATGAATATATTGATATAATTTTATCACCATTTTTCATGGGACTGTGGCATTCTGAAAAGATAAATTTTTAGACATTGGAACATCTCCCCAGGCTAATTGCTTTATTAAATGATTTCCCCAAATTAATTATGGTAGTTTTGTTTTTAATTAAAAAGTTTTAAATTTTGCACCGTACCTGGAGGGGCTTACATCTAGTTCTGTGCTTAAGGGTGACCCTTGGCAGTTCTTAGGCAACCATATGGGGTGCCAGAGATGGAATCAGGGCAGCTACATGCAAGGCCTAACCCCTGTACTATCTTTCGAATCCCTAATTGTGATTCTGACTTGATAACAGTTATGAAAGATATGATTCAAATATAAAATTAAAACATTTTTACACTTTAGAGAAAGCACCTCGTTGAGAAATAAAAAACAACACTGTTTAATTTTTAAAGTCTTGGAATATCTCTGTAAACAGTATGTTGTTAAGCTTTGAAGAAATTACTAGCAAGCATAAATATAACTGTAGAGAGAATGTCTTGTACAGTTAATATTAGATCCAAATTTCACTGGAGAAGCTAGTTTGAATAAAAATATATAGGTCAAAGTCTGATTTCAGCTTTCTGAAAAGTTTACAAGTATTTTTCAGGGAAGTCAGTAGATAAGGTTTTGAGCAAATCTTTGGAGATGGCATTTATTTTCTACAATTGGGGTATTTCTCAATACTGTGTCTGTACTACAGGTATTGGATGTTCAGCAGTATTGTCAAGGGTTCTGCATCTGTATCTGGGTGGTGACACAGTTTCTTTAGAGTTCAGGATTTGCATTTCAAAGGGATGTGTTCCTAATGTCTTTGGACTGCTTCAGGGCTGAACAATTTCTTAAGTTTTCGTTATTTACCCAAAGCTTACTACCAGCACCCCACCCCCCACCCCATCTGTGTCTGTAGCATAGCCCCTCTGCCCCCTTTTCCCCTGATTTCATCTCTTAAATTTTTAAGGGATGCATGCATGAAAGTCTATCCTTAGGGAATTCATAGATGAAGGTCTATCTGTAACATGTTCATGCTGACAAAGGGCACAGACCCTGCCTATGTAAAGGTGTGAGGTCTTATGTTAACTTATTATTTATGGGACCCAAGTAGTGTTTATTGGTTTCATAAAAGGCAATTACAGGAGAATTTAAAAGGCCATAAGAATATGAAAGGACCATCATCAGTGCACGTGTTTCCCTGTCAACAATATCTATTTTAACTTATGTATGCAGAGAACTCCAGGCAAGACAATTTGGAGAAAGAGTATATAAACCACCCGGCTATTCTGGGCGCTCCCCATCCCCAACTCTCAAAGCTTATGTTTTGCCTAGAACATATATTTTTTCCACTTACATCTCTAAACTTCTTTCAATAAAAACCATTTTGCTTCTAAAAACAAAAGAAAAGTGGCATTGTATAAGGAATTGGAATACTGTGTTCTTGATTCTAAATCATTGTGGCCTACTTTAATCTCTTAAAAGTATCTTATCTATTATTTCTGTAGATGAAATATAATCTCTTGATGTAACTAGAATGAGGGAAAAGAATATAAAATTACAAATAAATAAGTCATGTCAGCTCTGTATAGAAGGAATAAAAAGAATCCCGGCGGGGGGGGGGGGGGATTCTTAAATCATTCAGCGTTTCTAATCATGTCATCTGATTAATGAGTTACTTAGACCAATCACTCACACAGTGTTGAAATTTTTGCCATTTTATTTATTACCACGTGATACAATTTTTTTTTACATGTCTTTGTTTTTTCTGTTCTGGGATGGAAGTTTACGAAGATATGTAAATCTCTGGATACATGGTTGTATTCATTTGTAATCTTTGAACATATAGCACATAGAGAAAGCAGTCAATGACTGGTAAATGAATGAATGAATAAAACTGCCTTATAATTCACAGCTCTTATTGTCAGTTTCATAGTATTTTTGTCATTTTCTTCAGTTTAGTATCTTATAATGCTTCCTATTATATTTCTTTTGGTTCAGTATCTGTTTGTTTTATTCGTGTAATACATTCTCTGTGTTCCCGGATGCAAAAGTGGGACAAATGCTTCCCTTGTATACCTTATAGTACAAGGCCAGTGAATGTAGGAACTTGATGAATTGAATACGTTTATGCATAATGACTTAAATTAGTTTCTTTATAGTGGTTTGCTTTATGAAAAGAAATGTTTTTATTAGAAAGCATAGTATGAATTCTAAATAATAGAATTTTGCAAATTTATTTTTAAGATTAGGTAAGATTTGAAAATGTTTTGCTGTGTCTGTTAAATTTTTGTAATAAATTTGTTTTGTAGTTTCAATTTTACAAGTTTCTGCACACAATATATAAAACAAAAGGAAAGGTGTCATAATTTTCAGTGAGATACCTTGAAACTTTCACTTTTCAAAAAAGAGGAAAACATAGGCAGAACTCTTCATGACTTTGAAGCTAAGGCATCTTCAAGGATGAAACACCAGTGATCAAGCAGGTGGAAGCAAGGATAAACAAATGGGAATACATTAAACTAAGAACCTTCTGCACCTCAAGGGAAATGATGAACAGGATACAAAAATGGCCCACTCCGGGATGGAGAAATTATTTACCACACACTCATCTGATACGGGGTTAATTTTCAAGATATATTAGGCACTGGTAGAACTTTGCAGGAATAAAATATCCAATCCCATAAAAGAAAATGGGGGAGAAGTGATGAACGAAACTTCCTCAAAGAACTATAAATGGCCAAAAGGCACATGAAAAAATGCTATACATCACTAATTATTAGGGAGATGCAAATCAAAACAACAATGAGGTTATAATCTTACACCACAGAACTGACACACATCAAAAAGCACAAGAACAACCAGTGCTGGCACTGGTGTCTGGGAAAAGGACTCTTCTTTCATTGCTAATGGGAATGTTGACTGGTCCAGCCTTTTGGGAAAACAATGTGGTCATTCCTCAAAAAAACTAGATGTTGATTTTCCATATGACCCAGCAACACTGCTTCTGGGAATATACCTTGTGGCCCCAAAACACAGTGCAGCAAAGGCATCTGCACTCTTCTGTTCTTTACAGCACTATTTATAATAGCCAGAATCTGGAAGCAGCCCAAGTGCTCAGTAACACATGACTAGATAAAGCAACTGTGGTATATTTATACAGTGGAATACTATGCAGCCATTAGGGAAAAATAAAGTCATGAAATTTGCTTACATGAATGGGTAGACATGGAGGGAGTGTAGTGCTGAATGAAATGAGCCAGAGAGAGAGAGAGAGAGGAACAGACTTAGAATGATCACACTTATTTGCAGGATATAAAAAACATAGTTTGAGAATAATACTCAATGACAATGAAACAGAGGTCAGGAAGACTGGTGTGTGGTAGGAAACTTGTTACAAGGGGGATAGGTGGGGAAGAGTATTGTTAGGACAGAGAAAGGACCATTTCCTAACCATTGGAAATGATCACTGTGAACAAGAACTGAAGTGATATACATGAAACCTTTTCAGCATTGCAAACTACAATGCTTAGAAGGAAAAAGAGAAAGAAATTTGGGACATCGGTGGTGGGAAATGTACACTGATGGTGGGACAACGGACGGAAGTGAGGGATGTTGGAACATTATATTATAAAACTCAATCAAGGACAGCTTTGTAACTGTGCATGTCATCATGATTCAATAAATAGTCTTTGTTATACTAGTTTTTTTGAGACTTGGTTTAAAAGTTTAGTATTTAAGTAATTCCGATTTATTGTCTACTTGGCCTATTAGATATGCCTTTGCATATTTTAAAAAATACTTCATTATCATCTCTCATGGTAATATGCTGTTAACATGTGTGAAATTATTTTTTAACATAACTTTATTGTGTCACTGTATTTTTGTAGATTAATTGCTTATGTTCTATAACTTTCCTACATGAGATTTTGTATATAATTACTTGTAACATAAACTTACAAGAATATACTTAACGTTTTGAAAAGTCAATAATAGTTATAGCAACAATAAAGGGAAAATTTAGAACTTTATGAGAAGTTTTGTTTGTATTTTATATGAACATTGTTATAATTAGAAATTTTTATTTGCTTTATTTCAGACCAGTCTGTCCATATGGGGATGGGGAAGCCTTGGCATTGTTCTTTCTTTAATAACCTTTGGACCCTTTGTGATACTTTACTTGGCATTTTATATCCTCTGCTTTGTGGGTGGGTAAGTATACATACTGGTCATTTGAAATTTCTATGTAATGTTCTGTTGTTGAAAATGGAGAGTAATGATTTATTATTATTTTGTGTGTTTATGTGGGGGGAGGGTTTGGGGATCAAACTCAAGACCTTATGCATGGAAGGCAAGTGTCTTACTACTGAGCTCCTTGGCTCAGTTTTTAAATAATATTTGTACAAATTTATTTTATCAAAGTTAGAAAAATAAAGTTAAGCCAGAAACATGTCTTACCATGAGATCTTGGGCTTGATTCTTGGCACTATGACAACATAAAGTGAAATTAAAACACCAGTAGAAACAAAAGTGATAATGGTTATTATTGGAACCAAAGTATGGATAGTCATTTTTTTAAACCAGTTTCAATTTCTGATAATAATCCATTTGTGAAAATATGACAAATTTTAAGATATTTAAAAATATCTTTTGGTGTTATTTCTGATATAAATTCTGCTTTTACCTGAAAGAAGATATTGTTTTGTTGATTATACTTTAAACAATACAATGATTTCCATTAATGAAAGCTGTGTCATTTTGCTTTAGAAAGTTAAAACACATCTTTGCATTTTTCTCTTCATAGTTACTTGATTTATAATGTTTGTATCTTACCTTTATGGAATGAACATGAGTTAAAAAAAAAACCCACAAAAACATCTTGAAACCCAGTGATTGAGTAAATTGTTACAACCTGTTGGTATAAAGCGGTGGTCTTCTAGCACCAGCCCACAGCTATAGAATGGTTGAAAATCATAATCTACTGCCTTGGTAATAGCTGCTGGGCTGTGGACCAGTTTGCAAACAGGTGCTGCCTGTAGGTATTAAAATGTCAAAGAACCCTGATTTCTAGGACTCACCTGAATTGAATAGCATATGTAGATTGTTACTTGAGAGATTGTAGAAGACATTGGGATAGATATGGTTATCTATCACCTGCTCCAATTTATGAGTTTGAAAAGCAGTATTAGCTTTGTTATGGTGAGTATGGACACTATTCACAAGTGAACATTAGTTAGCACAGATATTTTAGAATAAAATTATTTTAGATTTGTGTTTTCATTATAATTTCTTAGATGTAAGCTACATGTGGAAACAATTAAGGACTGAGTCATAAGAATGAGAGCTCAGAATGTCTCTGTTGATGATGGAAGACTATGGTTTTGCAGTGATTTTGGTCTCTTAATTAGACTGGTCAGTCACAAATTAGGACCAGAGCTACATAGCTGCATGATTTCATGGTTATATCACCCTCGACAGGACTGGGGCTACTGTCACTGGTTGGAAAGAAGAGTTTTGGAAAGAAGAGTGTTGCTTGGAAAAGGAAAGACACTTTTTATTTCATGGGTTGAATAGAGTTCAGCAAGAGTATAAGAGCAGGATTTCAGATTAGTGTTCAATATTTCCGAAAGGGAGAAAATTGAAGTTTTGTAGATGAATATAATCTGAGGAACCCATGAGAAGTGGAGGAATAGAAACTCATTTCTCTTAATTTTGGTTGATCAGTTCATTCACCACAGAGTGATTGGAAACTTATTTGTTCCCCCTTTCTTGTTATGGTAGTACTGATGGGGGAGAGTCTCCCAAACAATGCAGGATGCTCTGAGGGCCCCCCTTGTGATTCTCTGCTAACTGGGCCATTGTTTCAATGCTTGTCCCTGATGATGCTGTGTTACTTGGGTCTGAGAGCCAAGAATTACCCAGCATGGGCAGTGCTCAGGAATTTCCTTATACCATATACCATAGTCAGCCTCTAGCTGACTATGCACCCATAGCTGCTTGGGAGACCAGATAGTGCCAGGAATTGAAACAGTAGCATAGGATGCATCCTAGCCACTGCACTGTTTTCCAAACTTCTTAATTTTTTTAAGAATTTATTTTAGGGGCTGGAGCAATAGCACAGTGGGTAGGGCGTTTGCCTTGCACGTGGCCGACCCGGGTTCGATTCCCAGCATCCCATATAGTCCCCAGAGCACCACCAGGAGTCATTACTGAGTGCATGACCAGGAGTAACCACTGTGCATTGCCGGGTGTGACCCAAAAAGAAAAAAAAATTAGTTTTCTTTTTGGGCCAAACCCAATGCTCAGGGGTTACTCCTGCTCTCCACTCAGTAACTCCTTCTGGTGGTGCTCCAGGAACCATATGGGATCCTGGGAATTAAGTCCCAGTCAGCCACATGCAAGCCATGTGGTTTTTGCACTCTCATCCTATTTGTTCTTTTGCAAATTTGAGAGGAATTCATATTTTTTCAATGAAAACTAGTTTTGGTTTTGCTAAAGAACTTGAGTTTTTAAGTTCAGTTCTATAGTTTATCTTCTTTGTCACTAGTGTACATATTTTTCTTAGGTTGAAGCTAATCCCTTTATTATTTTTTTTTCTTTTTGGGTCACACCCGGCGATGCACAGGGGTTACTCCTGGCTCTGCACTCAGGAATTACTCCTGGTGGTGCTCGCGGGACCATATAGGGTGCTGGGAATTGAACCTGGGTTGGCCGTGTGCAAGGCAAATGCCCTACCTGCTATGCTGTCACTCTAGCCCCATAATCCCTTGTTTTCTTATCTAAAGAAAACTTTTGGGAAGTGATATATGGTTCTGTAATTATTAGTAACCTGATTTTATACTTTAAAGCTGAAACTATGAATTATATTTTTGGGGGTAGAGCATACCAGAGGTACTCATGGGCTTTTTCCTGTCTCTGTGCTCATGGATCACTCCTGGTGGCCTCAGGGAACCGTATGGGATGCAAGGGATTTAACCTAACTTGTCCTGTGCAAAGGACGCCCCCTACCCACTGTACTATTGCTGTACCCCTGGAATTACATATTTTATAATAGCATATCTTATTTTTTATTGATATACCTTCTTAGCTAAAACAGCTACAGAATTACATGATTTATGTATAGATTTAGATATCATTTATCTTTTTTACGTATATTTAATGAGGACCAGGTTTTGTCAAGTATGAAAATGCTTCCTTGATATTCTTTTGAAAAATAATTGATCTGAGCCAAAATCTGGAAATAACCCAAGTGCCCTAGAATAGATGACCAGTTAAAGAAACTTTGGTATGCAGCTATTAGGAGAGATGAAGTCATGAAATTTGCTTATAGATGGATAGACATGGAAAGTATCATGCTAAGTGAAATGAGTCAGAAAGAGAGGGACTGCACTCTTTTGTGGAGTATAGAATAACAACATGAGGCTGACACCCAAGGATAGTAGATACAAGGACCAGGAGGATTGCCCCACAGCTTTAAGTCAGCTTCATGAGTGGAGGGGAGAAGGCAGATGGAATAGAGAAGGGGTCACTAAGAAAATGATGGCTGGAGGAATCAGTTGAATGGGAGATGTGTGCCAAAAGTAGATAATTGACCAAACGTGATGACCTCTCAGTGTCTGTATTGCAGACCATAATAACCAAAAGTAGAGAGAGATGGGGAATATTGTCTGCCATGGAGGCAGGGGTAGGGAGGGAAACGGCGGGGAGGGCATACCGAGGATATTAGTGGTGGGGAATGTGCACTGGTGGAGGGATGGGTGTTTGATCATTGTATGATTATAACCTAAGCATGAAAGCTTGTAACTGTCTCACGGTGATTCAATAAAATTTAAAAAAAAAAAAGAAAAAGAATTGATCTGAACTTCGAGAGGTATAAAGAAGTACACAAAAAATTTATAATTGTTTTAAGCTTCAAAACATGATACAAACCAGCTTTACCTTGCTGAAAGTTAACAGATTTATTTTTTAATGGCATTCATTTTTTAATGAAATGTTTATTAAATTTGAAAATCTAGTTGCAATATATGTGTTAAATTGTAGTAAAGTCTTTTTTTTTATACCTAACCTATAATTTTAATTATTTTCAGGGGTTTTGTGGTTACTCTCCTATTTGGAAAAACGAACTCAGAGAAATACCTAGAACAGTGTGAACACTCATTTCTTCCTTCAACATCAACTGGGATTGCTAAGGTAAAAAGAGTAAAGCAATGTGAAACTTCGAAATTCTCTTTCTTTGCAATAATCTTAGCAATAGTAGTAATAACTTGATATCTGTATAGTCTTGGCAGATTTTCCTAGGATAATAATTTTCTCTGTAAATGTATGGTAGATTTTTCTGATCATATTTACAAAGTGCACTTTAAAAGAAAATGGACGTGAGGGCTAGAGAGATAAATACAGGCATTCATGCCTTCAACACCAGTTTGATCTCTGGCAACACCTGGTCTACAGCATGGCTAGGTTTGGCCTTGGTGGCCTGCATGCAACAGTGCAGTACACTGTTGGTGGCACCACAGGGTTTGGACAGTACCACAGCTTTGGCCCTACCATTGACCCAACCAACCGGGACTAGCACTGTACCCCCGAGTACTACTTAGAAGCCCCAAATCCCATCCAGCACCCTCCCACCCCTGCCCCACCTAAAAAAGAAAAAAGAAAAAAGAAAAGAAAATGTGTTTATGCATTTGACAACTTTCTTAGTGTTTTATGTTTTCATTTTGGCTTTTATGGGCTGGAGTGATAGCACAGAGGTAGGGCGTTTGCCTTGCACGCGGCCAACTTGGGTTCAATTCCTCCACCCCTCTTGGAGAGCCTGGAAAGCTACCGAGAGTATCTCACCCGTAGGGCAAAGCCTGGCAAGTTTCTCCTGATGTATTTGATATGCCAAACACCGTAACAACAAGTCTCACAATGGACATGTGGGCCTGTTCAAGCAAATCGATAAACAACAGGAGGACAGTGACAGTGACAGCTTTTGGGTCACACCTGGCAGTGATTGGGGGTTACTCCTGGCAGTGCTCAGGGACTAACCTTGGCAGTACTTGTGGGACTATGTAGGATGTCAGGGATTGAACCTCGGTCGGCTGCATGCAAGACAAGCATGTACTATCTCATCCCCCCAAAATATGAATGCATATAGAAATTTGTGGTCTTTTCCTGCTGTCTTAAGAAGTATCAATTAACATTGTTTTGAATGAAATGAATTGCATAGGAACAAGAAAGAAAGCAAATGGGCTCTTTAGATCACTTGAGGTATAAATGTTGCAAATTAGCTATGCAATATCTATATTCTGATCTGATTTTATATCTTATATTGGTATTTTCTTTCCTTAAAAATATACTCTTTATACATATATATATTCTATAAATAAAATTGGGATTCAGTATATAGTTAGGCTTTAGGTTTCCATTGCATTTAGTTCATTTGGGATTGGGATGGTTTCATCTTGTCTGAATGGAGACAAATGGTCTGATACTAATACCAGTTACTTTATAATTACTGATTTGTCCTTTCTATACTAAGACGTAGGAGATGCAGAGAAAGTATATACTCAGTAAAAGATTTTCTCCCTATCAGAATTTCATATTGCTAAATAAAGTTTCTAATATTTTAACTTTTTAAATCCATGAGATTTTCTTTTCTGTTTTGAGACTATTAAGATTCATTCTTGGAGTTTGCCATTTCTTGATATCCATAGTTTCCATTCATTTCAGTGGTCTATACAGAAGATAGACAATATCTTAGTAACAGTTCTTCAAAGTAATCATAGTCACTGGTTAAGTCTTTATAATTTTTTTAGTAGATGATATAAAAATGTAGATGGTTTACTTTTGCCATGTAAAATTATATATAAATATATTTTTAATAAAATAAGTCTAAGAGATTGCATGTTATAAACTGAAGCGTGTTATTATAACTGTGATAATTTGTATTTTTAATTGAGGAGTATCCTATTACAACCTTTTAGCTATCCATTTTTAGGCTAGATTCTGTAAATAGAGGAATTAACTTTCTTTAATTGCAAAAAAATTGGTAGTGCTTGAGGGACCCTGCAGTGCTGGGATTGAACTCAGGTCCCACCTTCAGAACATCTACTTGGTCTATTGAACTGCTTTTGTGACCCCTAAAAATAATCTCTAAATAGATTCATATGAAATTATATTCATTTGGCACTTGATATAAAACTTTGGGCTTGGAGGTGTAAGGAGAAAGAAGGGTGTTTAATAAATTTGATAATTTTGTTCATATAAGACACATAATGCTTACAAAATTTTTTGAAATATGGCAAAATGTATCTTACTCAATTTTTTCATGTTCTCCATGTTTGCTGATTTTATTTTTGAGAATAACAGTAGATCTTCCCCCTTAATATCTATTGTTCACTTGAGAACTACTATATGATAGAGTTTCAACAATTTTTTTTTTACCTAAAAATAATTAGAGGACATTACAGTGAATTTATAAGTAAAGTACAGATATTTTTAAGTCAGGAAACTATGCAGTAAAACATTATGGTTTCTTTCAAGTGCTTAGAAGAAATGAAACGGGAAGCCAGGACCATAAAGATTGATAGAAGATTGACGGGTGCCAATATAATTGATGAACCTCTTCAACAAGTGAGTTTCAGTATGTGGTATTTGAATATTGTATTTTGGATGCTAAGTATATTTTTGAAAATTTTAACAAATATATTTATTTTTGTAACACTCTGGACATATGTGTATCTTGGATTATTTTTGTTTATTATTATTTTATTATTATTTTTGTTTGTTTTGTTTTTGGGCTACACCCAGTTGTGCTTAGGGCTTACTCCTGACTGTGCTACCTACTCTTGGTATGCTCAGGGGGCCATAAGGGATGTCATATAGCCATATAGTGTCATATGGGCCATAAAGGAATGACATTTGGCCATATGTTATCACCCAGATCTGCTCTCTTCCTAGAAAGTGCCTTATCTACTGTACTGTATCTCTCTTGCCCCTGCTTTCCTTGCATTCTTAAAAGATACCTTATTTATGAACTCAGTTATAGTGAGATGATTTATTTATTTAGTATTTAGACATTTTGATTCAGTTTTCATGCTCAAAAAACGTTTTACTGATATTTGATAATGCTTCTAGTAATTTTACAGTTGAAGTAGAACAAGTATACAGTATACTCTGTAGTTGAACAAGATGAGTGATTGGCAAATCAAATTTTCCCCCTATTTGATAACTTCTATAATGGAGTACCTGGTTTGATTTTTAAAATAGTAAAAATTAAGGATAAAATTAATCTCCATAGGATTATTTTTGTTAATGTTTGTTTTATGATTATTCTAAATGTATACTTTAAAATTATAACATTTTTGTTACAATGATCTGACATATGATTTACAAAAGATTATACATTATATACTTAATATTGCTATTATTGTCTAATGAGAATATATACTCATACATAGTGAAGGTCTTAAGTGAATTCTTTTGTCTTCTTGTAATATAAATTCAATGAATCAGGTGATAAAATCATGTGAAAAAAATTTTTTTCTCCACTTTACCTCAAATATGGATTCTTTGTAAGAATTAGGGTCTTGGGTATAATTTTGTATTTCATTCCCTTGAGGTTAAAACAGCAAATGAATGCAATATCAGTGCAATTAAATATTTTTCTAATGGTTTTGACGTGTTGATGCTTTTATAGTGAAGGCTACCAGAAATGAATATGTAGGGGATAAATATGAATTGGCTAATAATATATCTGATTTAGTTTGCCAGTGAAATCCTGAAGTGGTTTTTTTTTCCCCTTCCTCTTAGGTTATCCAGTTTTCTTTAAGGGATTATGTCCAGTATTGGTATTATACACTAAGTGATGATGAATCCTTCCTTCTTGAGATTAGGCAGACTCTTCAAAATGCACTCATTCAATTTGCTACAAGGTAAGGTCAATGCATTATACTTATGCAGAAAAAAGGAAACGTATTATTTGTATTAATGAGAAATACCTCTTAAATGGAAAGGGAAAATTGATTATTAAAAGGTGAGTAAAGCAGTCTGATGGTGTGATAACTCTCAGGTTAAAGAAGAAAAAGCATATGAGCTCTTAAATTTAAAATTTAATTTATAGAATGTTTATCTTATTACTCTTTCTCTCTTTCTGTATGCTGGTTTCTTGGCTTGGTCATGAGGCCCTAAGTTTTTCAACCTACCATGGTAATACTCACCACAGATTCCTCTTTTCAAAAATCTGTTTATTTGAGTTGTGTGGAAACTAGCTTCAGTGTAACAATTACTCCCGTATTTTGGACACATACCTAATGAAATTTCTATTAAAGGGAGAAGAAATCCAAAGAGCATAAGTCAGTGGAGAATGTTTATTTTTATTCCTTAAAAAAATTTTTTTCCGTACAAGGACCACACCCTATGGTGTTCAAGCCCTATAGTACTGGGAGTGTGTCAGGAACCATATATATCTTGTGGTTCTTTGGGAAGCTGATGGTGCTGAGTATCAGATTCAGGCCTCTGCTCTACCACTTGAGCTGTCTGCCTCCCCCTCACCCCCACTCCATCCATTTATTCTAAAAAGGGAAGTATATTTTGATGAGTTTTTATTAAAAAACTTGCAAGATACACTAAAATTCATACTTCATAAGACCCACTTACATACTACCTCCTATATGAAAAATTAATGAGTTTATCTCTTTAGGTTAAGATACTTCCTTTATTTTGGGGGAGTCTGTTTTCAGTTTCATGTCCAGGAATTTGTTATTTTGAAAGAATTAAATTTTTGCTATCCCTTATGCACAAAGATTTTCTGCTTGCCTTGGTCATAAGGATCCTGTAAAATCTGAAGGCATTAGTCTTCATCTCTTCTTCCATACAATTTAGTTTTTTTAAATACTTTCTTGTACTTCTCTGAGTTTTGGGCAGTAGAGCTTTGCCCTAAAACTCTTACTGTATTTTCATGTATATACGTTATAGGTACTTACAGCTGATGCTGCTTTGGTCTACTCTTCCTCAGTTAACCCATAGCATTAAAGCCAGATGCTAGTTCATCAACCTCAGATTATTGGGGACACCTGCAATAAGATTTATGATTTGATCCACAACCTTGGTTGTAGAGATAGATTTGAGCTCTTTCTCCCTATGGTTAACAGAATGAATTTGCAGTATGTAAAGTATGTAAATTTGCAACTATGTAAAGCCATAGTTGAGAGTAGATTGATTATGATTTAAAGACAACATATTAAAATTTATCATATCCACAGAACTGAGTTTGCTCTGGTAATGTGTTGGGCATTGGAATTATGTATACATGATACCATCATTAACAATATTGTAAGTTGTAGTAGCTCTAAAAAATAAAGATAAAAAGTTTAAAAAAATACAGTGTATCATAGGAAAGTAGTAGATTTATTTTATTTTATTTCTTTGTTGAGTATTATATATTCTCTCAGATACATTCTGAGTTATTCACCTCTTTCTATAGTAAAACAATCTAATGAGATTTTTTAAAAAAAATTTTTCATTAAAAGAATCTTTGTTGATAATCTCCTGTAAAGAACTTTGAATTAATAATTGGAAGACTTGCATTTTTATTCAGTTCTACCACTTAGCTGTGAGACTACACACAAATATTTTTGTTTTTCTTATATTTTAATCAGCATAAAAGTATCAGCTCTGGAATTGGAGAAATAGTGCACTGGCTAAGCTGTTACTGGCCTTGCATATAACTAACCTGGGTTTAATTCCTGGTATCCCAAATAGTTCACAGAGCCCTGCCAGGAGTGATACCTGAGTACAGAACCAGAAGTAACCCTGAGCATCACAGTGTTACCTAAGAACCAGAACTAAACGAAGCCAAAACAATTTGGCTTGGTGTAGTTCTTTTTTTAGTTCTAATTTTGTGCTTTGTACCAGCCAGATACTGGGCATATTGCATTGTATAAAGCAAAATTCATGGTTAGTAGAATATGATGAATACTTGGGAAGATGACTTAAAAATTGTGAAGTATTTATAAATTTAAGATTATGCACCATAATACCCATTGTTTTATAGATGATGAAGAAAAGATCCAAAAAGATTAGGTAGTTTAAGATTATCAGGAAGTGGAGGGGAGGATAATTAGGATCATGTTGATATCAGAACAGTATTTCTTTTTTCTCATTCTCATCAGATGCTATATTTTTAGATCAGAGGTTCCCAATGTTTTTTAACCTACTGCTTCTTTTTCAGAGAAAAAAAAAAAACAGTATATCTCTAGAAATTTCCTTATTTTAAGTGGGGAAGCAGAAAGTGCCCTTCTGTTGCACCAAGGCTATATAATGGATCCCCTGAGTTATTCCACTGACCCTTGGCAAGGATAAGGGACTGCCCACTTTGAGAAATACTGGTCTAGATTTTTTTACCTTGTTTTTTTCTTTTCCCTTATTACTCATTCTTTAAATTTGATGTCAAGTTTTACCCTCATATGTAATGTTCTTTGTTGTTCAGGTAGATAAATACTTGGTTGCTTGCAGAAAGAGATTATTTCCACCCAAATCTGAATTTATATAAAGTTATATCTGAATTAGATTCAGTATTATTTTAAGATTAGAACAAATTAATCAGCTTTTTTTTTTTAATTGAATCACCGTGAGAAAAGTTACAAAGCTTTCAGGTTTAAATCTCTGTCATACAATGATCAAACAACCTTCCCTTCACCGGTGCACATGTTCTACCAACAAGAACCCCAGTATATTCCCTATCCCACCCCTCCCCCTTCTTGTGCGGCAGATGATTTCCCACTTTACTCTCTCTCTACTTTGATTACATTCAATTTTTTGACAAAAGACCAACCATTATTATTTGGCATTTTCCCCCAACAATCAGATCTACCGAGAAGGCATCATTAGATAATTAGTTTTCTATTGCTGATAATGAAGAGCATATGATGTTGCACAACTGCGCAATTTTGGGTTTCTGATACTTTAGTAATTAAGTAATTAAGGATTTCTGCCAGAAGTCGCTGTGTTCTGAGATTGGTTTGTGTGCCTCTGGGATCATGGCCATTCTGGAGCCAGAGGAGCCATTCGTGGGTGGCAACTCGGGGTCTTGTCTGGGTGGGGAGAGGGGCCGGTCCCACCCCCCATACCTTGAGGCCTCAAGTTTCCTGTCACTGCAGGCGCATACCTCAGTCCAACAGGCTCTGAAAGATGGCAGTCACCATGCTTCTGCTGCGGGGAAGAAGGCGGAAGGGACAATGCCCTTTCCCATGTGGGGTGACACGGGGCCTAGCTTAATTCACAGGCCAGAAGCATTTCTGCCAGAAGCTGCAGAGATTGGTTTGTTTGCTTCTGGGATCATGGCCATTCTGGAGGAGCTGTTCGTGGGTGGCAACTCGGGGGTCCGGGGAGAGGATGATCAGCTTTTCTTGAGCTGTAGATTTTGGGTGTTTTTTGGTGTTTCTTTTTTTTTTTTTTCAAGGGCGTGGGGAGTGCCATACCTGTCGGTGCTCAGGGCTTACTCCTGGCTCTGTACTCAGGGATAACTCACGCCATTGTTCAGAGAACCATATGTGGTACTGGGAATTGAACCAGATTACTGTAAAGAAGACAAGTGCCGTAACTGCTGAACTTTTCTTTGGCTTGCCATAGATTTTATTTTTAATAGAGTATTTGGATAAGAAAAGTTTTAGGATGGTCTTATAGGTTGTAATGCTTTTATGAAGAAATAGTGCATGTAAAAGAATCTGGTACATCCTAAATGTTCATTAATGTTAATTTTATTGTTATTACCTTTGTTACGGGCTGGAGCGATAGCACAGCGGGTAGGGCATTTATTTGCCTTGCACACAGCCAGTAAGGCTGACCGGAGTTCAATTCCTCCGCCCCTCTCGGAGAGCCCGGCAAGCTACTGAGAGTATCTCGCCCGCACTGCAGAGCCCGGCAAGCTACCCGTGATGTATTCAATATGCCAAACACAGTAACAACAAGTCTCATAAAGGAGACGTTACTGGGCCCGCTCGAGCAAATCGGTGAACAACGGGAGGACCGTGACCGTGACCTTTGTTATATTGAATCAGGATATATGCACAGATTATTTTCTTTGGGAGGGGGATAATGGGGAAAATGAAAGCATGTGAGAGAAATAAAATAGTCATTGTCGTGTTAGAGATATAGTGGACCACAGTAACTCATGAAGATCTCATGAATTGAGGCTAAAAACAATTTAAGCATCCATATATTAGCATAGTGTGAATGAGGGATGAATGGATGTTAGGAAAAGGGAATGGTATATTGTGGGTCAAATTCTAAGGAATGGTGAAAATAATAAGTTGATATATATAATTTGAAAAGGGATCTTTGTTGTTGCTCTTCAAAGTGAAATATGTTTACTTAACGCCCACCAGCTCTTTTCATTATTTAACCCCAAGATTAGCAGAAGAGCCATTTTAATGGGTACTGTTTCTTCAGAAGAATTTTCCCATAATGGGAGAAGGAATGAATATGTAGGTTCCAAGAGTCTGTGGTTCAGGAATTTTTCTAGTTGGGAGCGATAAAGTTGAGTATGACGCTGTCCCTGTCCTTAAACTCTGTGCTTTGGAAACTGAATTGCCCTTCTTGGAATTGTTGGCGGTCAGAATCTTTACTTGGGACTGCTCTGTGAGTCATTCCCTGGTTTACCAATATTGCCTTTGTTGATTCCTCTCCCAGATTCTAACATTTATACAACTCTTTTCATTATTTTTTAAAATTCCCATTATTTAAAAGTAAAGTAAAGGGCCTCCCGTTGTTCATCGATTTGCTTGAGCGGGCCCAGTAACGTCTCCATCATGAGACTTGTTGTTACTGTGTTAGGCATATCGACTACGTTGCGGGTAGCTTGCCAGGCTCTGCCATGCGGGTGAGATACTCTCGGTAGCTTGCCGGGCTCTCTGAGAGGGGTGGAGGAATTGAA